CACCTTTCCTTCCATCAGTGCACCCTGTCTTGTTAAAGAACACAAGATATCTAAGTGCAAATGTCTGAAACTCACATGGCTTTCATCCACAACTGCCCCAAAATTCAAAATAGGAGAGAGCCTTAGGAATGTCTGAAGATTTATGACAGTTTTTTAAAAGAGTGGCAAATTTGTCACCAGCAAAGGGTAGCCTTGCGTGTCTTTTTTCTGACCCTGCCATAACCTTGGGGGCAGCTGCACGGGGACTTGGTTGTCATAAAGCGCCAGTGCAAGGATGCTACAGACAGCTGAGCCACAGATGCACCCGAGCCGCTGGCCTTCACGGGGTCCTGTGATAGACACTCCGTTGTCCAGTGAAAGGAGTCTGACTCCCACAGGGAAGTTGCCGAGAAAAACTGATCAACCGATGGATTGTGCTTTTTCTAAATTCTGGCACTTAGACATTTCCCTTTAACAGTGTTTGAGATGCCTTTGCTAGGGCGGCGGCTGGAATGGGAATCAGATGGTGGCAGGACGGAGCAGGGTCAAGAGCCTGCAGAGCCCGTGGAGACAACAGACCTAGCTTCCAGTTCCAGCCACCCGCAGGCTGTCGCCGGCACCTTCTCTCAGTCTCAGTTTCCTCACCTGGAAACGAACAGAGAAGAATAGTATCTGCCTCCTGAGTTGATTTGAAAGGTTAGATGAGGTAATGTACATGTAGAAGGATGTCAGTGTTTAACCGGGGTTACCATGGAAACAACAATGTCCCCATGGTGGGGAGCTGCTTCTTTCCTTTCTCTGCTGTTTTGGAATGAGTGGGTCACTGCCTCTCTCCTTTCTTTTTTTGGTGGCTAATGACTTGGGATTTGGTGTTAACAGATTATAAGACCTAGTGACAATAGGGAATACAGCCTTCGGATTGAGGGTGAAGACAGTATGTAAGGGGATCTCTGGGGATGGAGGGTGGGGTGAAATAGTGTGGAGAAGAACAATTCTGGGGTCAGGATGCCCAGGGTGGAATTCTGGGGGCCAGCCCATGGCAGTGGGGCAGTGCCAGCTGAAGTCATGGAGAGGAGGATCAGAGGGAGGGCTGTGATTTCATCTTACACTGTTACCTACTCTACACCATCAGAATAAACTGACTTTCCAACGGGCAGAGATGCCCAGCAGGCCTGCAGAACTGGTTCTGTTCCATCCTTGGGTGCCTGGTCCATGGTTAGCTTGAAGGGACCCATGGATGCTAAATGAAGTGGTAGGATGAGCTTCCACCCTGGGCAAGGCCAAGGCTGGACTGAGCCAAGGAAGGACTGAACGTGACAGCTGAGTGGGGACAGTGGTCTGTGAGCACCACTGCTATAGGCTGAATGTTTTTCTTCCCCCAAAATTAATATGTTGAACTCCTAACCCCCAAGTGATGGCATTAGAAGGTGGAGCCTTTGAGACATGATCAGTCATGAGGATGCAGCTCTCATGAATGGGATTAGTGCCCTTATAAAAGAGGCCCAGAGAGCTGCCTTCCTCCTTTTCCACGTGAGGATACAGTAAGAAGGCTCCATTTGTGAACTGGGAAGTGAGCCCTCACCTGACATTGAATTTGATGGCACCTTGATCCAGGACTTCTCAGCCTCCAGAACTGTGAGGAATAAAAGACTGTTGTTTTTAAGCCACCCAGTCTATGGCAATTTGTTATAGCAACCCGTATGAACTGAGGCAGCCACCTCACACATGGATGCCCTTCACATGTGCGGGACACTGAAGGGGGCTCCTACTACCATTTTCCCTGGTTGTTGAGAAAAACTTTTGATACAGCAGTTACAAACATGGTTTGGTGTTTTCGTTTTTGTTTTTATTTAAATATTTTTCAACTGGCTACTAGAAAGTAGCTGTTTGAGGTAAAGCATCACCTAGATTCTCATAGAAATTTCTTCACAACGCCATCATGCTCAGGAGTTTTCATCTTGAATATAGCAATATGTTTGTTATTGCTTGCTTGAATATCTATAGATGCCACTCAGATTTAACATTTCATTACTTTGTCCTTTTCTAAAATTCTAGATGAAAGACCCAGTATCTTTATTTTTCCCCAGACAGATTCCCTCTGGGAACAGGAGCCATTCGTGAACTTCCTCTGAAAGGTAGTCCTCCTGCGTCACCTCCTTCAGGACTCACAGGGAATGTCCCGAGAGGACGGCAAGATGTGACGGCCAGATCACATGCCTTCCGTCTTGTCTTTCCAATCACTTTTCTCGGCATTCTATAAATCTCCCCTCCTGCAAAGCCAACACCCTAGTTTCTAGATTAGATGAGAAAATGATTATGCAAAGTAGTGTCTTATTTTTCTACGGCTGCATAAAAAATTACCCCAAACTTAGCAGCTCAAGACAACAAACATGTGTTATGTTGCAGTTTTGTTTTGTTTTGAGATGGAGTCTTGCTCTGTCCCCCAGGCTGGAGTGCAGTGCACTTTAAACTCACATTCTCGGCTCACTGCAACCTCCTCCTCCCGGGTTTAAGCAATTCTCAGCCTCCTGAGTAGCTGGGATTATAGGCGCATGCCACCATGCCCGGCTAACTTTTGTATTTTTAGTAGAGACAGGCTTTCACCATCTTGGCCAGGCTGGTCTTGAACTCCTGACCTCGTGATCCACCCACTTCGGCCTCCCAAAGTGCTGGGATTACAGGCGTGAACCACTGCACCCAGCCTAAGTTGCAGTTTCTAAGGGTCAGGAATCTGGAGGCAGCTGAGCTCGATGATTCTGGTTCAGGTGTCTCCTGAGGGTGGAGATTGCTTAGCAAGGAGTACCACTGCTTTGAAGACTCATGATGGCAGGTCTCAGCTCCTCACTGACTGCTGACATCAGCTCCTCACCACATGGGCCTTTCCATAGGCTGCCCAAATGTCCTCAGATGTGGCATCTTCCTCCACAAAGAGTGGTCCCAGAGAGAGCCCAACGTGGAAACCACAGACTGTTAGAACCAAATCTCTGAAGGTAACATGCCGTCACTTTTCTGCATTCTATTAATCATGATCATGCAGACCAACCCTATGTGCTGTGGAACGGGCTGCCCAGGACATGAATACCAGGAGGTCACTGGAGGCCAGGGACCACTGGTATAAAGTCTTTCACATTTTTAATATTGGTTCTCCTCAACACACACACACCCCCTTCTTTCTTGCTTGCCACTAAAACTTAATTTCTCAGGCTTTAAAAGGGTCATGATATTCAGATATATTGGCCACTTTTTTTTTCCCTACTGGAAACTTTAAACTCATGCTCTGTAATTATATATTTATTTAGCAAACAATGGTGATGTGGTGGACACAAAATTACAAACCAGGGTAGCAACCAAGGCCCAAGCAGGACAGCCTATTTGGATGTTGACAGGCATGTGTTTCCCATTCCATGAGCATATGATTTTCCACAGCTTCCGTAGGAAATTGCACAATGGCCATTGCTCCTAACACCCTCTCCCTTCCCTGGAGCCCCCTGTCTGGTGGAGGACACTTGCTGAGGGCTATGGTAAAGGGAGCCAGGGAGGAATGCAAGGGGGCAACACTGTCAACCGGGTAAACCGGGACTTCCAACAGTGGGGAACAGCTTGAGCAGTTCCCTTGTATGTCTCCCTACAGAACAATGCCTGAAAAGTGTGATGATTTTTCTCAAAGTGCCTCTTCATTTCAGAGAGACTTTTAGACTAAATAATCTTTCTTATGGTTTAGGGTCAAATTCACTTTGCAACTCTCTTTCCACTTATGGTCTCCCTCACCCATGTCTCATAAAAGCAGGCTCGGCCGGGTGCAGTGGCTCACACCTGTAATTCCAGCACTTTGGGAGGCCGAGGCAGGCGGATCACAAGGTCAGGAGTTCGAGACCAGCCTGGCCAACATGGTGAAACCTTGTCTCTACTAAAAATACAAAAAAATTAGCCAGCCGTGGTAGCGCATACCTGTAATCTCAGCTACTCAGGAGGCTGAAGCAGGAGAATCACTTGAACCCAGGAGGCAGAGGTTGCCATGAGCCGAGATCATGCCACTGCATTCCACCCTGGGCAATAAGAGCGAAACTCCATCTCAGGAAAAAAAAAAAAAAAAGCATACTCAACGCTATACCCCAGGAAATGATTTAGTCCCACATACTTGCTTTACTTCACTCTCAACATCCTGAACTCGTTTTCCTTAAAACTTTCCTTCCCGCCACTTATCCCCATGCTCATGCCCTGGTTTGGTGACAGATCCTCCAAGTCAATCTGGGTTTGCATCTGGCAAAGAAAGCATAGTGAGGACACCCATCGCTCCAGAGCGAGTTTTAACCCGTAACAAAGGAAATTCAGCTAAGTTACCTATATTGTCTTTTTCACTCATCTTTTTCTTGATATTTCTCTCCCGTCTCCTTCTTCTGCTCTTGTAGCAGAATCATAGAGACAGAAAGTGGAATGAAGGTTGCCACAGGCTGGGGGAGAGAGGGAAATGGGGAGTTACTGCTTAAATAGTGCGCTAGTCCATTAGCGCTGCTCTAACAGAATACTACACACTGGGTTATTTAAAAACAGCAGACATCTATTTCTCACAATTCTAGAATCTTGGAAGTTCAGATCAAAGTGCCAGCAGGTTTGATGTTGGATGAGGGCCCGATTTCTGGTCCTTCCTTCTCGTTGTGTCCCCACAAAGTGGAAGGAATAAGGCAGCTCTCCTCTTTTATGAAGGCACTGATCCCATTCACGAGGGCTCAGCCCCTATGACCCAATCCCTTCCCAAAGGTTTCACTGCCTAACACCATCACACTGGTGATTAGGTTTCAACAGAGGAAGTTTTGTGGGACACAAACGTTCAGATCATAGCAAATAAGTATGAAGTTTCCACTTGAGGAGATGAAAATATTCGGGAGATGGATGGTGGTGATGGTTACACAACAGCGTGAATGTATTTAATGTCACCTAAAAATGGTGAAAATGGTAAGTTTTATAAACATGTATATTTTACTACAAAAAGCAAAAACCCAAACCAGAAAACTCACTTATTTCCATTGTAAAAGGAGGCGTCAGAGCTCAACAATGGGATTTGAAGTCACTGGTCACTGTTCAAGTTCTGTAGCATTAGCCCGATAGCTGTTTCCGCGCTCTTCTGGTAACTCCATTAAACAATTAAACAGGAATGGAAATAATTAAAATGCCAAATTCCCCAGCCTACCTCTTAAGCCATCCAGAAATTAGGCCTTAGTGTAGGAGACAGGAGGAGGGCCCAGCTCTATTCCAACGTAAGTCAGCATGGCCCAAAGTCTAAATCGGGGTTTTTATGTAACTCCCATTGCAACCAGAAGTAGCCGGGAGCTTGTAGAACCCTCCAATGCCTGAAGCCTTCATCCCTCAGGAGTCTTATTTAATTGGTCGGGGTGAGGGGAGCAGGCTGGGAGTGGGTGGCAGGGAGAGCCCAAACATCAGTGTTTTCAAAGACTCTCTTGGGGGTTCTAACTCACCATCAGAGTTGAGAACTTCAGTTTAGAGAGGACACATCCTAAAGTGTAACACCACTGATCAACGCTTCTTCTGGATTTCAGGAAAAGGTAAGTTCTGTCTTTCGTAGCAGATAAAGCAAATGACTAGTCCAAGCTTTTATACTGTAGATGTCATAACTGGGACAGGCTAGATCTGAAATATGAGACAAATACACAGTACACATTTTGCCTATGTTGGGAGCTCAAGGGGATGCTTAGAAGAAATGGAAACAGCCAAGAGGGCGCCACGCTGGGGCTGGGGAAGTAGCTTCGCTCCGGTACAAGGCCCAAGGGCAGCCGGCCCACCAAAGCAAGTGAGGACAGCTTGCTGCCATCCCACGAGGGCTTAATCACAAAAGAATTTCAGGACAAGTCATTTCCCAAGTCAGCAGGGAGAAAATAATCATGTTCTAGGCAGTCCTATTTGTGTTCATTTCCTCTCATCAATAGAAAGGTGCCCTGTATTTTTTATTTTTTATTTTTTATTTTTATTTTTATTTTTTTGAGACAAGGTCTTACTCTGTCACCCAGGCTGGAGTGAAGTGGAGAAATCATGGTTCACTGCAGCTTTCACCTCCCGGGTTCAAGTGATCCTCCTGACTCAGCTTCCCAAAGTGTTGGTATTACAGATGTGAGTCACTGTGCCCGGACCTCCCTATTTTATATACCATTAAGAAAGAAAAAACATAGGCTCCGTACTCAAATATAACACAGCATTTCAAACCACTGACGTTGATTTACTACTTATTGAAAGGGCTCTTTTAGGCTTATTTAAATAGAGATTATCATCTTTATATCATTTTTGTGCTTATACAAGAAAGAAAATAGAAGCATTAGTTATGGACTTTCTTTTTTTTTATTATTATTATTATACTTTAAGTTGTAGGGTACATGTGCATAATGTGCAGGTTTGTTACATATGTATACTTGTGCCATGTTGGTGTGCTGCACCCATCAACTCGTCATTTACATCAGGTATAACTCCCAATGCAATCCCTCCCCCCTCCCCCCTCCCCATGATAGGCCCCGGTGTGTGATGTTCCCCTTCCTGAGTCCAAGTGATCTCATTGTTCAGTTCCCACCTATGAGTGAGAACATGCGGTGTTTGGTTTTCTGTTCTTGTGATAGTTTGCTAAAAATGATGGTTTCCAGCTGCATCCATGTCCCTACAAAGGACACAAACTCATCCTTTTTTATGGCTGCATAGTATTCCATGGTGTATATGTGCCACATTTTCTTAATCCAATCTGTCACTGATGGACATTTGGGTTGATTCCAAGTCTTTGCTATTGTGAATAGTGCTGCAATAAACATACGTGTGCATGTGTCTTTATAGCAGCATAATTTATAATCCTTTGGGTATATACCCAGTAATGGGATGGCTGGGTCATATGGTACATCTAGTTCTAGATCCTTGAGGAATCGCCATACTGTTTTCCATAATGATTGAACTAGTTTGCAATCCCACCAACAGTGTAAAAGTGTTCCTATTTCTCCACATCCTCTCCAGCACCTGTTGTTTTCTGACTTTTTAATGATCGCCATTCTAACTGGTGTGAGATGGTATCTCATTGTGGTTTTGATTTGCATTTCTCTGATGGCCAGTGATGATGAGCATTTTTTCATGTGTCTGTTGGCTGTATGAAGGTCTTCTTTTGAGAAATGTCTGTTCATATCCTTTGCCCATTTTTTGATGGGGTTGTTTGTTTTTTTCTTGTAAATTTGTTTGAGTGCTTTGTAGGTTCTGGATATTAGCCCTTTGTCAGATGAGTAGATTGCAAAAATTTTCTCCCATTCTGTAGGTTGCCTGTTCATGCTGATGGTAGTTTCTTTTGCTGTGCAGAAGCTCTTTAGTTTAATTAGATCCCATTTGTCAATTTTGGCTTTTGCTGCTGTTGCTTTTGGTGTTTTAGACATGAAGTCTTTGCCAGTTATGGACTTTCTTAAACCTTCTTTATATACAGAGCGTGATCAGCTGAATAATTTTCTTGACGTGAAGCTGTCGATGTCCAGGATCATCTTCTCTGCTGCCAGGAGGAGAGGGCTGGGGCTGCAGCACTTCAGAAAGACGGCTGCACTGTGGTCGCTGGGGCTTCCTTTGAAGTCTGAAATCTACTCAGCAAGATCGGAGCTGACGCTTCCCTCACCTCCCGTGCAGGTGACAATGGAAGGCGTATGGACTACAACTGGGACTCTCTTCCTTGCTGAAACAGTCCTCAAATGTCTGGTTGACTAAAACATCAAGCTCATGGTCTTGACTCTAGACATACCATCAAGCTTTCAGGAACAACAGGCATGACAGGAGATGACAGCCACATCACACCTGTCTATGGCCTGTGGTGACTGCGAGAGTCACTGGCTGCAGCATGCCTCCTGATTTCAGAGATGTGAAATTATGAAAGGATGTGCACATTTTAAATGGATGAAATAGAGTGTTTATATCCATCATGAATTGAATGCCCGCCATGGGTCAGGCATTGTGTTAAAATGGCAGGGGTGGTGTAATTCACACTCTCTAATAATCTCCAAGGTGCATATTATCTTATCATTTTATAGAAGGGCAAACCGAAGCTCAGAGAGGCTAAGATATCATCCAAACCACACTGCTTAAAAGAGGCCGATCAGAATTTGCACTGAGGGCTGTGTTTCTTGAAAGCCTATGTCTATGCAGCTGACCAGGATGCCTAATGCTTGTCAGTGGAAGGGGATATGGGAAGCAGAGCCCAACCTTCAGGAAGTGGGAACTGACAAGGAGCCAGGTCCACGCCTAAGCAAGGGGGGTGTTCAGGACAGGACTTTGGCCCTAGTAGGGTACTGGTAGGGAGTAGGGGGCAAGTGAAATGATCTGAAGAAAGCAGGGGCCAGGAAAGAGGGTGCAGTCCAGCCTCATAACATCCAACCCCAGCTCAACTCTCTGTCCCATCAAGCCCTGGCCAGGAGACATTCAAGGGCTGAGCCTGGCTGGAGGGTCCTTCGGGGAGGTAAGGGCTGGCTCAGAAGGACAGAGAAGATAAGTATGTATCTCTATAAAAACTAATCAAACTTAGAATAAATAAAATTGATTTTGAAGATAGCTGAAAAGGCTATAGATTGCCAGGGAAGAAGCTGGAATATAAGTAACTGCAGATGTATAATACTTACTTTCCTAAAGCCCATAAAATCCCCAACTCAGCCAGACTCTGACAGACTACAGGATGACCTGCCTGTGGAAAGGAGCTACAAAACTTGGGTCCTGCTGAATGGCAGGATTGAAAGAGCTGTAACACAAACAGGGCTGAAACACACCTCCCCACTCACCATGTTGTGGATAAGAAGGAGAGAAGAGCTGCACAGCCCCTTGGGGAGCCCAGACCTAGGGGCTCCCTGAGCCAGGGCTGTGACACCCTCTTTGGGGCTTTGTGGTTTCTGGTATCTCCAAGCTTCCAGGCACCACCTGCGGTCCCCTCATCCACAAGTGGATGCCTACAGCAGAAGTCTCTCACGGTACATCTGATCCAGCCGCAGGTTTGCACAGAGCCGGTGACTGTGCCGGCACCTGAAGCTGTCCACCTCACTGCAGCAGCCAGTGTGCCTGTCAGTGTGCATGGCTGTGCACAGTGGCTGAACCCCATGCTCACTCACACATGCACCCCTCACCCCTCCGTGCCTGGCTCACCCTTGGCAGGTGTAGGATCCAGGCCAGTAGCACAAGCCATGTGCAACCTACCAGACCGAGTGGGCAGAATGAGCCCAGCAGGCCTGAGCAAAACTCAGGCAAAGGCACCACTGGTCACAGAGGTTTCCAGCTGGAAAAGTGACACTCCAAGGACCTGTGACAATATTATACATATGCAGTTACTTACATTCCAGCTTCTTCCTTTTCTGGAAACTTACATTTGTATAGCATTTTCAGCTCTCTTTAAAATTAATTTTTTTTTAATTTTTAGTTTGATGAGTTTTTAGAGAGATACATACCCGTGTAACCACCACCATTACCAAGGTATACAACAGTTTCATCACTCCAGAAAGTTCCCTTATACTACTTTACAGTCAGTACTAAGTCCACTCTGACCCCAGGCAACCACTGGTCTGCTTTCTGTCACTATCGATGAGTTTAGTAGTTTCTAGAATCTACATACATATAATCATACTGAATATATTCATTTGTATCTGGTTTCTTTTGCTCAGCATTATGTTTGTGAGGCTTATCCATGTTGTTGTGTGTAAGTGGTTGGTACCTTTTTATTGCTGAGTAGTATTCCAGTGTGTGGATATACATTGTTTGTTTACACTATCAGCTGTTGATAAATATTTAGGATATTTTCAGTTTCTGGTTATTCTGAATAAAGCTGCGGTAAACTTTTGGTACAAGTTTTTTGTGGGAACATATGTCCTTATTTTTCTAGAGTAGATACACAGAAGTAGAATTGCTGGATCATTTGGCAATGACACACATCTTATATATATAAGAAACTGCCAGATTGTTTTCCAAAGTGGTCGTTCACCTTAGGGCCCCACCAGCAGTGCGTGAAAGTGTCCGTATCCTTGCCAACACTTGGTAAATTGTAGCCATTCTTACTGGTATGTAGTGATAACTCTGTGGTTTTAATTTTCTTTTTCCTAATAACTAAGGATGCTGAGCACATTTTCATGTATTTATTGACCGTTTATACATTTCCTTTTGTGGCATATCTGTTCTTTTGTGACACATTCATTTGAACCCTCCCCTCTTTTAACAAAAATGGGCAGTAGTCCTATTTTCGAGTGATAGGAGATGTTTATGTATTCTAGACTCAAGTTCTTTCTCAGATACATGCATTATGAATATTTTTCTCCCTCCCACATTGTGTGCATCCTTTTTATCCTTTAATGGTGACTTTTAAGCAGAGATTTCAAATTTTGATGAAGTTTAACTTATCATATTTCTTCATTTATGTCTGTATGTTCCTTCCTTACTCCAAGGTTGCAAAGATATTTCCCCATGTTTATCTCCGGAAACTTTATAGTTGTAGGTTTGACACTTAGGTCCATATCCATTGTGAGTTAATTTTAATTTGATGGAAGGTACGGTGGAAGTTCATTATTTTGCACATGGGGGTCCAATTGTCCCATGGCTATTTGTTAAAAACACAAAACAGAATCTTCTCAGCACCAAATGACCTGGCACTTTGTGTG